AGTCGTAACCCGATGTTCACGGCAGCGCTGTACCCGATGTTTTCCGGGTGACGACTCACAACCAGGCGTCCGGACCACCCATAGACCCTCTCGAGTTCCTGCAGGTACAACGACAGCATCGCCTCCCGCCCGTTCTGCACCAAAACCAACAGCCGGATTGGCACACTGATGTTGCACATCATCGTCCGAAAGTCCATCGGATCGAGCATCAGCGGGACCACCATCAACGGGATAACGTCCGTCCCGTTATTTCCCCCCAGCTGCCGTGTCGTTGGATCCACCAGAAGCCTTTCCCCGACGCAGTGGATATATTCCGCCATGGTCGGACCAACACCAAAACCATGCGCGGGATCGTCGCCAAGTAGGAACTCCACTCCAAAAAAAAAAAAACATCAGCATAAACAACAAATTTAATGTTAGAAGAAAGATAAGGCATCTTTTCCAAAAAAGGCTCGTGGCTTCGGTTTTTAAAATGCGTGTAACTCTGCGCATATCCCGTTGGAGGCAAAGCCAAGGGAGCATCTCCTGAAAGAAAGAAAAAAAAGTATAAAAGAAAAAAAGGTGCGCAAAAATGGCTCCGTGTCAATGTGCAAAAAAAAAGACTCCTTCCAGCGCAATGGCCACGCATGGATAACGTCCTTGGCCTTCCGTCCGCACAAAAAAGCTCTGATGCCCCAATGAAACCCTCCATGCGGGAAGGTCATCAGAGACACCGCAAACCGCACCAGGTAAAATATATATATATATATATCAAATAAATGAATCGATAATGAAGCCCAGCGCCTCAGCGTGTCTTCTGCAACGCCACTCGTCATCACAAAATATTTAAAAAGCGACAATGTGATAAGAGGGAGAGATCGAACGGAAGCACAAGCCCACCATCAAAAGTGATGGGTTTTCCAAAGCCGCGCCCCAACACAGCAAGGGTTCTTAAGCTAAAAAAAAAGAAAAAAAAACCTCTCATGGGTAAGAACGAAAGTAAAAACGGGCGTCCTTCCACCTGGAGGGATGGAGGAACTCCACCGCAGTGTCCTCCACGACGCAAACACCCCGCGTCCAGTGCCCGGTGTCGTGTGCGGACTCCGCGAGGAGGTTTTGCGCACGCCGCTGCGCCACACGGTGTGACCCCCTCGAAACGCAACAGCAGGTGTGTTCCCTTCCGGTCGCACTCGTGGCGGTGTCGGCATCCGCTGCCACGCTGCGTGCTGCCGGCGTCGAATACAATGCTGCAGAGAGTGAGAGAGGGTGCCCGACAGGAGCGGCGCTGCGTTGGGTGGGCAGTGCCCTCCGCGGCGAGACACCCAGCGCGACTCCTGACCGCTGCGCTCACGCACTTCCCTCCGCTCCTCTCCCTCCATTCGGCAATCGCACAGCCGCCGGCACATTGTCCCCGAAGCAACACACACGTAAAAGCGTCGTGGCATATCTCTCGAGAGAACAGATTGACAGCCACACGCTGCGGCCATCGTGCAGAGAGGTGAGCCCTCGGACAACTTTGTTTTGGGGCCACGCGCACCCCCGCAGGGGTCACCCACAGCAACGCACAAAAGTGCAATCAAAAACATTCACCCACCGTTACCGCCATCGCACATCTACAGAAGAGACACAAACGCGCAAAAAGGCCAACTCCACCGCAGACGCACAATCACGTGCACCAACAGCCGAAAAGAGGAGTCTCTCACCCCGTGCAGCATCGATGTGCCGGGCGGTACTGCATATCAAAGCAATCGTGCTGCACGCGGTGCGCTGCAGACAAAATGAAAGGGAACCGCAACGTGCCCCCCTCCCGGTGTCCCTCTCTTCTTCATGTCCACAGAAGAAAGCAGCAGAAGAAAACCAGCAGAGAAATGATTGGCGATCGTCCATGGACAGCGCAATATTTTGTGCATCGTGTGCGTGTGCCTGCATGTACGCAAAAAAAGAAACAACAAATGAGGGAAAAACATGTGAATAGACACGGAAACACACAGCAGAGGTGCAGGGGAAATGGAGGAAGAAGAGGACTGCTGAAACTCGTGACTGCACCGCAGCCCCAGCAGCGGCAAACCACAATATATCTGCTAAATCAAATAAGCATTGATATTTGTTTCCCATTAAGTATTCTTGCAGAAAATAAAAAAGAAGAGAAGTTTTTTTCAGCCGCTCAAATCCCCGTGTCCACATGTCATTCATATTCCACTGGGACTCCCAGTGTGCCTCCGTGATTACCATTATTTTTTTTTTATTTTCACTTTTCACCGGCGTAGCAGACAGTACCGAGAGCGTCGGCAGTCGATGGACAAAAACAAAAAAAAGGTACCGCTCCGCTCAAGAGGTTTTTCCAAATATATTTTAAAAAGCACAAGAAAGGGACAGGAAAGAGCTGCAGCACCCCAAAATAAGTAAAATAAATAAATAAATGGAGAAAACGTTCGCCGGGCTTCTGACCAGATCCTAAACTCAATAAAATGGGACAAAAAAGAAGGAATCAATGGGGAGGCAGCGGCTTCACCACACCCTCGATGTTTATTCCATATAAATATTATATTTGGACAGCCACTAATCGTGATACGCTGCACTCTGTTCGGACAGGAGATATTTGGTACTTGCGACGTGGTAGCATTTAAAGTCCTCCAGCCACAAGACCCCGCCGCGAAGTGGGAATAAAAACGGGGCGGGTGGGACGGCAAAAAAAAATTAAATAAGGAAGACATTCTTCCTACCGCTGTCAGCTCCTTCGCTTCTTCCGTCGCAATCATCGAAAGATTCATATAAAATAAGAAATAAATCGTCCAGTAATATCTTCTTCTTATCAGGATGTATTAAGTTAGGCGGCCAGCCCTCTCGTTAGCACTATTCTCACACGCTCACAGAAAAATGGCCGTCGTTTCCAAAGGTAAACAAAAATAAAATAAAAATAAGGAATAAAATGAAAAAATGTGTCCACAAGAAACGTCAATCATTTAAAGGGGTGCGTGGGGAGACGCAAATGCCCCCGCTGGAGGCAGGAACTCCTCGCTGCGATTTCTCAGTAAATGGCCGCAAAGCCGCACAGCCCCAGCAGCAGCAGCAGCAGCGGAAACAACTGCGACACGCCCCCATGCGTGGAGCCGGCACCACTTCATTTTTTATCGTCGCTTTTCATAAACAGTTTCAGTTCATCGACAGTCAGTGGGCGGTTGTGCAGAAAGAGTTTTGCCACCGTCACGTCGATGGTTCCCGTCTTTTCTCCCCCAATGTAGAAGCGTGCGAGTTCAGCCCCCCGCTTCCTAGGTGTTGGTATCGTCTTCGGGCTCCCCACAAGCACACCATCCACGTACACGGATCCCTTGTGGCCGTCCTGCAGCATGAGCGCCACCTGGTGTTCTTTCCCCTGCTTCCAACCGCTCTTCGATGGCGTTGTCTCCCCATTGAATATTGTCAGCCAATTATTAAACTCGGGGTACGACAGTCCAATGAACTTCGTGCCGGCACCGTCCCCCAGAGCCACACCAATCAGCGAATTGCTCCAACGCGGAGCCTCGTGGACGATCGCCGTCGCCAAAAAAGTGAAGTTGTAGTTCGCGAAGCCGTACAGGTTATGACCCTCCGGGTCCTTCACGGGCCATGTTGCCCCGGATCCAGCCCCTTTAAATTTGAACCCATTTTCAACCTTCGTTGCCTTCGTCACGGTTGCATTCACGCAACGGTACTCGTCGAGCCACGTGTCACCACTGGCTTCGCTGGATAAAAATCCAACCAGACCAGCCGTGGGTGTGGACGACTCGGAAAAGGTGGCGTCCAGCTGTGCCCAATTACTGAGGAAAGATTCGATTGTGCTCGGCTCCTCCGTCAGGCGGGCAAGTCAAATGGCACTGCCTTTTTCATTGGCCCCATCCTGCAAAAGGTGCAAATTGCGATCTGAGTACAGTATGGTGCTGGAAAACTTCAGACTCACAGCATTCTCCACAAAAAGCGGTCCAACATAAAACGTGCGGTTGTTGTCCGTGACCCAAAGGTAGAGCGCATTGGCCTTTTTCTCCCCCGAGGCGTACCCTCTCTGAATTTACAGCATTACCTTCCATCCCTCAATGGTCGCGGTGACGAAAGCTCCCACACGCAAATTTTCGTCCCAACGGAATCCTGATTGTGACATGACCCACACGCCCGGGAGTGTTCTGACAGCCTTCGTCCACGTTGCCCCCATGTCATGCGACACAAACACACTCTGGCCATCCACACAATGAACAATCATGAGAATTTTGTCCCTTCTCCCATTCGGTGATGCGGGGATCAAGGCATTCTACAGGAGAAATGCTCTCGGGGAACACCCAGTTGTTGCCTTTGTCCGTCGAGTAAGTGATCATGGAGAAAGGTTGATTTTTCCAACTTGCCACCACCAGGGGAAACACAAGCGCGTCATTCTGCATCAAAATGCCTGAGCCACCAGCAGTCAAAAGTTCCCTCAGGTGATCTTGAGTGTGTGTGGGGGATATGCTGTGAAAGCAACTTGGGTTCAGCCCAGTTGATCAGTGTACTCTGCACGCCGTCCGTGGAATGCGTGGCCTTACCCACAACCAGTTGAATATCCCAGCCATCTTTCTCCCACATATCATCGCCACTGTCACATCCTACAGTATCGCTTCCCACAAGTAGAAACACCTTACTGCCCCTCGCAACTGCTGTGGGCCCGTACAAATAACACAAACGATCATCGCCATTCCTACTGCCAAGCACGGTGCGTGCCCTCCACTCCTTCTTGGTGATCTCAGAGACAATGGACGGCCGCTTCTCCGCAGCCTTGATGTACCCGGCCACAATGTCGGAAGACCGAATCCCAAACAGGTCATGTTCATGGACGTTATAATCGAACAAGCCTTCAGCAATGGCAAGCATCACCCCACCAACACGGACGAGAGAGGGTAAAACAAATGATTTCTTCACTTCACATGGCCCAGTGCCATCTCTTGACACCACCGGCGTATTCTTCGGCACAAAAACGTCAATCTCCGGAGCCAGTTGCACAACCCCGAACTTACTCTCCACAGCGGCTGCAGCTCCACTGCCACAGCAAACCATCACGACAAGGAGGAGAAACACCGTGGAATTAAACACACGCCGGGACATGTTGAGCCTCTGCGGCTCACTCTCTCCTCCTTCCCTCCTCCTTCCGCTGGATCCGGTCACACGGCGACGTTTGTGTTTTTCAGGCGCCTTGTCAGCAGCAACACGCGAGAGCATACAAATATGTGTTTGTGCGTGGGCGGTGTGTGTGCTGTTGGTCCCTTCAGTGCCTTCGAATTTCACAATAGCAATTAGCGCTTGCTTGCTTTCTTTAGTAGCGTGTGAGTAAGAGAAAAAT